ACTCTTCTATCACTACCAAGATGGATGTAGCTGAAAAACTATGTCTGAAAGCTTTGGAGAAAAAGGCTGAATCATAAAAGGGGGGTCACTTGGATATTATCTATTTTGAGCTTATAAGAGCTGAAAATAGTGTCCCTGAGGTGCCTAAGCTGAGAGTGGTTTCAAAAGCCTTCCTCCCGGACTTGTCAACCAGAGCCCGCTTTTAAATGCACTGAGGAGCTGCCTCAATCAATACTGCCAGAGCTTCACAAAGAAGGCAGAGCAACCACTTCACCCTGTGAAAACAACAAGCCATTCCTCCACCCCATGTAATCGCTCCCACCTCTGTGGAAGTAGCACTTTGGCAGCTTAGCTTTCCAAAGCTGCCAGCTGTGTTCTCAGCCCAACCAGCATGCCAGGACCGGTTTGTGCAACAATCAGAAGTGAGCCAGTTCCAAGGAGGGCAGCACACACACACACACACACACACACACACACACACGCGCGCGCGCGCACTCTAGCTGGCCAGGGTCCTGGAAGGCAGTCTGTCTTTGAGAAGGCAACTTTCCACTTCCTAGACACTTGTCACATTCAAGGCTGAGGGGCGGGGTGTTGAGGTGGAAGATGTCAGAGGCTGATCCAAAACAAACCACTTTGTATAATTTGTCATTTGACGAATGACAGCTGGAGCCCAGATTGGTCTGTCATGTTTTCCTAGGCTACGGAATATCAGAGTTGGGAGTAGTTCTTAGGGTTTTCTCTTTGCCAAGGCAGCATTGGTTTTGTTGGGGGTTTTTGTTTATGTTTGTTGGGTTTTTTTCTTTAATTTTTTTTCTTTAATTTTTCTTTAATGACTTTACGCATGTCTTATGCATAAAGAATCTGCTTACATAGTCATTACAGCCAACAAAACCTTGCGGGGGGGGGGGCACAGCTCTGCTCTGTAACACATGGAGCCTCATGTTAGCACTCTTCCCTTAGGTGTGCCAGATTCAAACTGTGTTTTCAGCTGCTTCCTATGCATCTGAAAGCTGAACAATGACTAAGGAAGATCAAAAAAGAACTGATGCCTTCGAATTACAGTGTTGGTAAAGAGAACTGAACATCTCTTGGACTACCAAAGGAACAAACAAATCTCTCTTGGAGAAACCAGAATTCAACTTAGAGGGAAGGATGGTGACACTCTGTCTTGTTTAATTTGGACATTCCTTCAAGAGGGACCTGTTCTTGGAAAAGAACACCTTGCTGGGAAAGATATAAAATCAGTGAAAGAGATGAAGACCTTCAAGGAGATAAATTGACACAGTGACTACCACAATTGGCTTGAACATGACAGTTTGTGAGAATGGTGTAGGATAGGGCAAAGTTCCTATCTGTTGGCCACAGGATCACTAGGTGTGTCTTAGTGACCTTGCCAGAACCTAATAATAATTACCCTTAAGATATGGTCCCTGTGTGCAGATATGTTGAAAATTTTGTAAGTGCACCCACATGCCAAGAACCTGATAGATTGTTTCTTCGTTGATATTTGAGTAGAAGGACAATCACCAGGGGCTCAGATGAATGAGGAAGTTGTCACACAGGAGATAGTGGAGCACACATGTGCTAAGTGAAGACTGGCAGTTGATGAAAGTGTGGGTGTGAGACAGGAAAAACAAACAAAACCTATTCAGTGAACATTAGTGTGATATTAAGGGCTTAGGGTTCATAGAACCAGAGACCTGACATGAGATGGAATAGATCTTGGGACTGTTTAAGCCATTTAAACAGAGCTAAGAGCATTTTGCCTAAGCTTGTTGGAGGATTGCGATGGGGAGAGCAAATATGAGCAAGACTGAGTGCTTTGTAACACTGGCCTAAAACTATGAAGCTCAAGGCTGAGGCATCTATGAATACATTTTGTAAGCTTATTCTGCTATTCACTTGGATTACAACCTTTTGATTTCCCATATATGGTTCTGGGTGGTCTGTTAGCCATCACATCAGATTTTAGACCCAGTAGAGCAGTAAGGTTGTGATGGGTAGAAAGAGGTATGAGGAAGTGGGAGACATGCCTAACTTCATGGGAATTAGTTTTGTGTTATTGATGTTGTTGACAGGGACAGTTCACCTTTGTGAAAATGGTAAAGGTCAGATATGGCCATCGTGACCCTTGCTTTTTCTACAATCAGGGCAGTATATGAAATAAAAATATCTGGAGGTCAATGTGGAGAAGTGGAGAAGGCAGTTATGCAAGAGCTAATTGGTTGGCCAAGGACTTGTAACATTAATTGGAAGTAATAAAAGAGCTCTGGTGACATAAGTGGTTATAAAGTATAGCTTCTAATCTCATTGTTGGTTGGTTGTTTGAATTAATCAACTGTATGGTTCTAACACATCAGCTGCTCCACTGGAGAAAGACTGACAGTCTCCTGTTAATGATATACAACCTCAGAAACCTGATGGAGGGCAGCTATGAGTTGGACTCAACTTGATGGCAGTGCATTTTTTTATTTTGCTGGAGTTTTTGCTTTTTAGCAAAAACACACTGACTTATACAATGACTGAATCAGGCAGTCAGTGTATTATTTTCTTTCTTTCTCTCTTTTTTTTTCTTTTCTTGTTGTGTGCCATCAAATTGTATCTTACTGGCACAGATTTCCCCTCCTTCTTCTGTGAAGTGTCTGCCTGATTAGAATTGTGTGCCTTCAGGATTGCAGTGCAGATTCCTGCCACTAGCCACCAAGACTCCCTTAGTTTCTTGAATATTAAGAGAGACCAGTAAAAAAAGGGAAGAGCAACTTAAATCTGTTAAAGGGAGTGCATTGAACTGGGAAAATCTGCACTGAGGGACCGCTCCAAATTATTGAGAGTAATGATGTTGAAGGTGCATTTAATTCAGTCCATAGTCTTTCTAATTACCAGCTATGAATCTGAGAGCTGGACAATGAATAAGGATGACAGAAAAAGAATTGATGCCTTTGACCTGTGGTGCTGGAGAAGAGCACTGAACATCCCATGGACAGCCAAGAGAACAAACAGATATGTCTTGGAGAAGGTGTAGCCAGAGTGCTCTTTGGAGGCAAGAATGATGATGCTCTGGCTCACATACTCTGGGCATGTTGCTCCGAGGGGCTATTCCTTGGAGAAGGGTATGATGGTGGGAAGGGTCAGCAAAGGAGAAGAAGACTCTCAACTAGGTGGATTGACACGGTGACTGCTGCATTAGGCTCTTGTGTGTCAGGAAGTGTGAGGATGGCACAGGATAGAACAAGGTTCAGATCTTTTGTTAAATGGTGGTTATAAGTTGTACTTGAACCAATGGCACCTAACAACAACAACAAAAAGGGAGTGCTGGGGACATTGGTGGTTCGGTGGTGGAATTCTCACATTCCATGATTTCTGGTCAGTGTAGCTCATGCACTGGCACTATCCACCTTATCAGTCAGTGGAAGTTTGCCTGTTTCTGTGATGATGAACAGGTTTCAATGGAGTTTCTGCTGTAAGAAGGAATATATGGTGTTTTAATTCTAAAAATGAGCCAGTGAAAACTATATGAATCACAGCAATCAAGTCTATGATGTCACCAGAAGCTGGAGGCCACCTTGAGGGCAGTTAACAGCAATACCAAAAGAAATAAGATGGTAAACTTGGCATCTGGAACAGCAGTTTAGAGATCTGACATTAAAGAACAGGTGATGGGCTGCAAAGAGTGACAGAATTAACAGGCAAAATAGCTATCAGGAAGGATGGACATTTCTTTCAAAAATCGTTATTCTGGAGGAGTGTTTTCTAAAAGCTAAACTGACATGATTCTCACTCTATCTAAAGGTTTTTAGAAGTTCTATCAAAGTCAGCTCCTTAGAATTCCTTAAAAGGCCCTTCATAATGTGAGGCTCTTCCTATTTCCCCAAATCCTCAATTTTCTGGTCATATAACATAATTGGAAGGTTCCAGAACACATCAGCCCTCTTTGCTTGCCACTTCTCCATCTAGAAAAGACATCTGTCAGGACTCAACTTAACATCGCTTTACTACCTGGAGAGTGTAGGCAAATGTTCCCTGACTCCTCCCTGAACAGAAGCAAAGTCAGTCTTGCCTTTTTTCCCTTTGCATCCACAGCACCTTCGGAGCTCTGATGGTGTGGTCTGCAGGGAGTAGGGCTGTTAACCCAAAGGCTTCTCTGGTTCAAGTCCACCAGCAGCTCCATGGGAGAAAGATGAACAATCTCCCATGTGATTGACAGCCTTGGAAACTCAGACTTGCTGGCAATGAGTTGAGTGTGAGCTGAGTGCCTTCTCCGCCTGAGGAGCAGGTGATACAGTGTGATTCAAATTAGAAACAGGCTAATACTCGAGCCAGGTTGTGGGGGTCAAATAAATGGCTAACGAAGCCATTTATAGTATAGAATTAGAAAAATGTTTCCGTACCTCTAAAAAAAAAAAAACCAAACCAACAACAACAACAACAAAAACCAAACATTCAGTCAACCAGATAAATCAACAATGTGGGTAGAGAGGGTGCTGTCGGTGGGAAACAAGACAGATCTTTACATTACAGTCATTACAATGTATACCAGAATAAATTCCCAAAGGATTAAAAGGAGAACCTGGCAAAAAAAAATAAAATATATATATATACATATATACACACACACATACACATATATACATATATATACACATATATATATATACACACACACACATACACATACACACACATAGATAAAAAGATCTTAATATGTATCATAAATGGTTTCCTTAATAAAGAAATTTTCCAGGTCAATATGGGAAAAAAAGGGAACAACCAAAAACCAAAATAAAATTAAACCAAAAGCCTTCTTTCAAAGAAAAATGTGGTGTATGAATGAGCAACTCATAAAATACATATTTTTTAAAGTCCAATGCAGGCTTCCTGACAATGTTTGCTTCTTTTACCTTGTCAAACTGAAGGTCAGTGTCCCACCCTTGACAAGCAGACAGTGGAGACTTTGAGCTATCTGAACAACATTAAAAGCTTCTCCATCTCTGTTCTTTCAGGACAAGATGCAGCTGCCCTGGGACAAGCTCCTGGGAGCCAAACACACTCCTGAAGAACCTGAGACACTGGTCATCAACGAGGTCATTCATCAAGTGACTCCAGACTTCAAACGTCCACACTGCTCCAACCGGACAGAAGAGGGACAAGAAATCCAAAGTCACCATATGTCTAAGGAAGATGCAACACCTCTAACGGTCCTCACAACAGAGACAAAACACCTAGGGGATCTGTACAAGATCCTGCTGGGCAAGGGCCCCGACTCAAAGCCCAGAAATCCAGCCAGCCCCTTGACAGTGCTCTCTGTGGACTACTTGCCCACCCAGGAGGGCTACTTACCCTCCAACATAGATTATCTCCCTTCACATGAGACGCCTGTCCCTGAGCCTCTGGAAGAACAGGAGCCTCAGCACATCACCCTTTCGGTTTTCCCCTCGAGTTCCTTTCATCCCCTCAACTTCCCCTGTGGTGAGAAGCTGACTCTGGATCAGTTAAAGATGGGGTGTGGCTCCGTTATGCTCTGAGAGACAAGGCTTGAAGACTAGAAAGCCTAGTAGGCCTCCAGCCAGCACTCTACACCCCATCTACTCAGCCCTTATTGAGTCCTCTGGTAGCCATCACTCAGTCCTGACGAGAGGGCAGGTCAGTCAGTTCACAGCGTCTCAGGACCCAAGCACTCACCTTTAACCATACACCTCATTTTTCCTTCCTCCCCATATAGACCTAGAGATTTCAACCTGGGTACCTGGCAACTTGCTTCACCATGTTGGCCAGAAAGGGAATAGGGGAGAAAAAAGAAGAACTCTTAACTAGAAATATGAAATAATCACAAAGACCATTCATGCAACAAATAAAGAACCTACTTACTTACCAGGCCTTATGGTGATTACTATTACTGTAAAAAACAAAACAAAACAAAAAAAAACCCACAACCTTCCTGGGGTGATAGAAATGTTCTTTGTCTACAATTCCCAATAATGCAGACTCTAGCCAACAAGTAACTGTTGACCACTTGGAATGTGTATAGCATCATCTACCAATTAAACTTTGACAGTGAGCATACAGTGGCTAGTGGCTACCGTACTGGAGAGTGTAGCTCTAGATGGTGAATAAACTGAGAAATACAGCAAGTCTTCAGAACGGAAGAGCCTAGCTTTCTAGATGATACACATCACATACACATGAACACCAGTATAATGAGTCACCACGATGATTATTGTCGTATTTGTGGAGGCCTATAAACACACTTTCCCCCTTCTCATTTTCCCCACCATGTTATGGCCTTATATTGCCTTCACTCTCCTCTAGTGACTCAAGAGCACCTTGGAGTGCTATTGAAAACCTGATTTAGGATATTGGAGAAACCTTCATCTTTCAGACTTGAAGCTGGTTGTTAGGCAGCTCAGGTTGAGCCTGGAATTGGGAATAGGACCCATGTTTTACATATTTAAAGCTACAAACCCTGGCTTGCCAATACCCACTCCAACCCTCCTTCTTTATGCCTTCACCATTGGCATTTCTTTCACTGAGCTGTTAGGAGAGTCTTGGTCTGAACCGCTAATACTTCTGTGCCATTCAGAGGGTAGCTTTCTATTGGGATCAAAGTCCAAAAAGGATCTCTTAAAACCCTACCTAAGTCTGGGGCCTACCCCGACCCACACTTAGGTCTAACCCTGGAACTGAGGCAGCTTCTCCGCTACCCTTTTTGGATTTTCTTTTTTAAAAAAGAAAAAGGGGCGGCGGGGGGAGAATTGCAACAGGTATGTGCTTCTTCTCTAAGTCACCAGATTAGAAATGCGACCATAATGAATCGCAGCTTCAAAACTAGACCTAAATCCACTACTGTTGGGTCAATGACAACTTAGTAACCAGAGAACTGCCCCCATAGGTTTCCAAGGCTTTACAGCCTTGGAAAATTTTTGTTATGTTCCATTCAGTAAGACCCACTCAAGCCTTTATGAAAACAAACTGCCACAGCTTTCCTTTGTGGAGCAACTGGTGAATTCAAATTGTCAAACCACCAGGGCACTTAATCTACAGTCCTCCCTCTCACACTGTGGGTAAGTGTGGAACCCACTCATAGCTACCCCTCTAAGGCTTTTTAGAGCCTGAAAGTCTGGTGGGGGGACTTACTCATCCTTTTTCTGCAGAGCACCTAATGGATTTGAACCATAAACATTTGGGTTAGCAGTGCAATTCCTACCAATTAGGCTACCAAAGTCCCTGTATAAATAATAATTTACCAGATTTTCCTGAACTCAAGGTAGAAGGGTTGAATATTTGTTCTGCTTGTTTATGTTGAAACTTCTCAATCCTTGCTCACTGACATCCCAGATCTCACACATTTAATCTTCCCAGGCTCTGTTTTAAAAACTTAAGGTTCTTCCTTACATTCCTATTTCACTCTTGCCCCTTCACACCATGATTCTTCACATTTTGGCATTAGCTGCGTCTCGTTTACAGTCAGGATGTACCACCTGTCCTTCACCTTGTTTGCAACAAAGACTACCTTGCCAGAAGCAAGTCAACCTATTACTTCTTGGCAGTAAGGCATCTTTACTGTTTTCTTACTTACTTTCCCTGGAATTTTTGTTATGTTCCATTGAGTCAGAACCCACTCAGAGCTGACCCTCAGGTGCATTTTCAGAAGCTGTAAATTGCATGAGAGGAGACTGCCCTTCTCCCACAGAGCAGCTGCTAGATTTGAACTGCATTTGGTTTAGCAGCTCAGCTTCTTACTACTAGACCACCAGAGCTCCCCAGCTGCAACTTTTTTGCCTCAGTGCCATGATTGGTCCATAGTTGTTGGGTGCCACTGAATTGATTTTGACTCATCATGACACCATTTAACAGAGTAGACTGCCCTGCTGGGTTTTCTAGACTATAATCTTTCTAGGAGAAAGTTGCTAGGTGTCTTCCCCAACAGAGTTGCTGGAAGGATTCAAATTGCTAAGCTTCAAATTAGTGGCTGAGTGCTTAACTGTTACACCACCAGGGTCCTGCACCATCCTCACAATCATTACTGTCTGTGTCTATTGTTTTAACCACTGGGCCAATCTCATTGAAGGTTTAGTCATTTGCTAACCCTTTCCTTTACTAAGCATGCTATCTTTCTCCAGGGACTGTTTGCTGTGTGTCATCAACTGACTGACTCACAGTTGACCCTCCAGAGGATTTTCAGAGGCAGTAAAGTGCATGGGAGACCGCCCACCTTTCATGGAGCAGCTGGTAAACTCAAACCACGTGCCTTTGGGTTGGCAGTACAACTCTATACCTTCTAGACCACATGAGCTCCCTTCTCCAGGGACTACTAGACCAAACCAACCAACCCTGATACTACTGTTAGGTCAGTTCTGACAGAAAGTGACCCTCTATCAGGTTTCTGAGACTGTGGATCTTTTGGAGAGGAGACTGTCCATCTTTCTCCTACGGGTTAACAGATGGCTTCAAACTACTGGTTAACAGCTCTACAAATTATTCACTACACCACAAGGATTCCATCTGACTCGGTGATTTTATGAGCAACAGAACACTGCCCTGTCCTGCAGAACCATTGCTGTGTCAATCTATTGTTGCAACCACTGTGTCAATTCACCTCATTAAGGGTCTTCCTCTTTTTACATGACTCTTACTCTTAAGTTTTACCAAGAATGACATTTCTCTCCAGGGTAACTTGTCCAAAGTACCTGAGAGCTTTTAGGGAGCATTGTCACTGTGCTTCTTTGAAGGTAGGCCTGTTTAGTCTTCAGGAAGTCATTGTTATATTCAATATCACCAATGTCATAATTCAAAATTATCAATCCTTTTATTCAGCTTTAGCAAGCATATGAAGTTAGTGAAAAGACTATATAGAAAATTGTTGGGACAGGAGTACTTTTAACACTTTAAAGAGGTTTTTGTAGATTTGCCCAAAGAAATGAGCAATGATTCATACTCAATCCTGATAAACATACCAAAGTCAATTTAGAAATGTCTGTTCTACTGAAATTCATATTCTTTAATTTTCTAGGACTTAAATTAGCATAGTGTTCTGAGTTCATTTCTAATGAACTTATGGGAATTTCCACTCTTAATTCTTAAGTAGTCTGTGAATTGTTTCTTGAAAAGAGAGCTCTTTCCTGGAAATCAGAGATTCTATTTCCTTGGCCTGTCTTCCTTTACTGACATGACCTAATTCATATTAACATGGCTATGGCAACTCCATGTACCTCAGTGTAGAACTCTGCTCCACAGGATTTTCAATTGCTGATTTTTCAGAAGTACATCACCAAGCCTTTCTTCCAAGGCCCCCAGGATGTTAACTATTTGTACAACCCCGGGAATTGTTATAAACATTAAAAAGACAAATGATACAGGTGGTTGTGGAGCTGCAAGGGGGGCGGGGGAAGGTTGTTAATACTTCTAGCCGTAAGCTTAAAAGATTATAATGTTCAAAATTATTTGTTATACATTTGCTTAAATTTTCCCCTCTTTTAACAACCGGGATCTAAAGGGAAGAGAAAAGACCAGAGAATGGCCAAAATTATTGGGGCAGCTATTGCTGCCAGTTTAGGGCCTGTGTCAGGAAAAGGAAGTCTTACTCATATACAGTGCCACCCAAAGGTAATAAAGGAGGTCAGAATTGCTTCCACTGTGGAAAGCTGGGCCACTTCAGTAGACAGTGTCACAGACGAGAGCCACAGATAGGCAAGGGAGTAGAGAGGAAGCTCCCACTCACTTGCTTTCAGTGTGGCTCTGAAGGACACTTGGCCAAGGTGGCCCACATCAGGTCCTCGTGGCTGACAGGACTGACAGGCCCCAGCTCCCAGCTGGAAACAAAGAACGCTTCAACGATTTAGATCCTCCCAGAAGAGCCGTGGATGAGCATTAACATTACTGGTAAGTATATTCATTTTCTCCTGGACACAGAGCCTACTAATTGGTCCTAAAAGCCTTCTGAGGTCCCAACTCTTCTCACTATCTCTTAGTTGTTGGAATGGACGGAAAATCTCATAAGCAGCTCCTTACTTCACCTCTACCTTGCATGTGAACTTCCGAGTTGTAAAACAGCCCAGTGGTATATGGACTTTGCTCCAGGACTTAAGAAGCATAAATGACATAGCTGAGATTCTACATCTTGTGGTTCCTACCCTGTACACTATAATAGACAAAGTGCTAGTCTATAGGCCTTTTATTGTAAGAACCACCTTCCCTCTGTAACTTGATTTGTGCCACTACTAGAACCTCTACTCAGAATATTATTGCTTGTTAATTTTTGACTCATGTACTTTTAACTTGTTAGTTAAATTTGTGTCTTCTAGGCTGCAACAGTTCCATGATACATCTTCAAGGATATGAACATGTATGGCTAAGCACAATTGATAACAGTGCATCTAAATTAAAAAATCAATCTCCATAATAGTCTATGTTTTTCCTACTGCCAAAGGGGCCCTTTAGAGTAGTGAGAAAATATCTTCACCCTGAAACCCACAATGTCCCTTTTCAGCAGGAAGTAGCTAAGAGAATACGCCATCCCCTTTTCCTT